ACCCAGAGGATCCATGTACCCAATACTTAGGTACTTGGGATTTGGGTAAGAGTAGTCATAGTACAGGTTTTCGGTAAGTAGATGATTATTAGGTGCTTGGACCCTTAGGGGTACTGTATTGGGGTTATATAGGGATAATGGAAAAGAACATGGAAATTACTACTTAGGATCTAGCTTCTGAGGGTATGGGGAGTTTGTTGGGTTTAGGGCTTAGGTGTCAAGATTTCGGGTACATATGCATCTTGTTGTCTATTTTCATTTGTGTGAAAGCTACTTACTAGGGGGGAAGATCCAAACCCTAAACCCTAAACCGGGATTTTTCAATTCCATGGCTACGAGTCTTGGATACACAGCTCTCACCCTCTGGGGTCTAGGGCTTTGGGTTTAGAAGCTCCACGAAACTACCCAAAAATGTCCTAAAGCCCGAAATTCGGAGGTTCAGATCGTGATGCTGACCGTGAAGTCGCTAGCAGAAGTTGTGGCTTGCTTCCGAAGTCCATATTCCCTTATTCCCTACCAATCCCTTCCCCCTAATATTAAACCCTCCCACCCCCCTAATATCAAATACTCCCATTGTGTGGTATATCATAATATATTTGAAGTATTTAATATAAGGAGGGTGGGGGGTTTATTATCTGGGGGAGGGGATTATACCCTCAATATATACCCTATTCTAAAGTAGTTTCCATTTTCTTTACCTTTCCGTATATAACCCCTACATAGACCCTGCATTCCCTATAAAACTTTAAATCCTAAATAGTGGTTTCCATTTTCTTTTCCAAATGAATTGAATCACAATGAGCACGGCTGCAGACAGCTCTGGTGTAACAGAAATAGCGGCTAAAGTCACTGCCACGAAATCTTGGGCTCTTGTTCCCACAAGCTCAGAAATTCACGTGGTAGTTTCTCAACCTGATTTCTTTTTACTTCTTAAGGGGGACCCCAATCCCGATCTACCCACATCTGCCCCTGTGGACCCCAAGCTAGGTACCCTAAAAACCTTGAATCCTAAACCCCAAACCTTAAAATCTATGAGCCCTAAGCCCAGCATGTCTTATGGTTTAAAGTTCAGGGTCTAAGGTTTAGGGCTCAGTGTTTTGCGCACCGAGCGGTGCGCGTTGAAGCCCAGATGTCAAGAGCCCTATAGTCCCCCTTAAGTAGATAGAATACGGCTTTGCTTATATCATAATAAGATCCCCATATACCCCATATTCTATCTACTTCAGGGGGACTATAAGCTCTAAGCCTTCCTCAACTCTCGACTCCGCGCAAGATTGCGCAAAGCGTTAAGGGTCTGGGGCTTAGGGAAATTTAGCAAGAACACAAGTTCTGTGAAGCCTCTTCCCGGGCAGTACTTCCAGAGTCCGGGCTCTACACGCTACACCCTAAACCGCAATTTAGAAGCCAGGCAGAATCCTGTACCGTAGCCATTTGCATCTTGCATGCCAGAAGACACCTCTTTCAGGCTTGATGCCCCTGAGGTCTAAAGTCGATAAATAGGAAAAGGTGTGTATATATATATATATTTATGTATATATACACGCACAAAACACGCGCAAGGACCTTTATAATAAAGAGGCAAAGGGCCCACAATCTGGACCCAGATCTGACGTTAGATGGGGAGGACCTAAGCCCCTCACCCTTAACCGGAAAACCAAGGCTGCATCGCGAAACCCTGAACAGAAATGATGCAGGGTTTAGGTTTAGGGTTGAGGCTTAATGATTACCAGTATTATGGTCCATATTGTAGAGGGTACCTCAAAGAGACGTCAGAAAGATGTTGGTAGTTTTCTAGGCTTCTACATTTCCCTTGGGTGCCTCCTTAGGTATTATAACACTATCAACTACCTAAACCCTACACCCTAAAAAAACACCGTGCGATTGAAGCTTTACTTGGCCGACTTAAGCCTGACAATTACTTAGGACTTTCACGTTTTGAGCTTCCTACTGCCAGTGAAACACGGATGCTAAAGTGTAGCGTTCCGGAGGGGTCCTAAAGTCAGCAAAGTCCCTACTCTTGCAGCTGCCCTAGACAGAAAACCCCGAAGGGGGTTCTTAAAGGCTGGGTCTCAAGTTGTGTCCTCCAGATTCAGGAATGAGGTCCCTGATGAATGTTTGTCCATCCTTAGGAGTTCCTGGAACAAGGATAGTACAGGCTTTAGTTATAGTCCCCCTTAAGTAGATAGAATATGGGGTATATGGGGATCTTATTATGAAATACCCAAAGCCATATTCTATCTACCTAAGGGGGATTATTACCCCAAAACCCCCATAACAAGGACCTCATAACTAGCATATGACTATCACCCTAAACCCTAAACCCATGACTATAACGGTCGGAATGTTAGGGTTCGGGAAACTCAAACCCACCTACTGGAGGATGTCCTATGAGCTATAGTCTAAACTCCTTAAAGGGTAGGGTTTAGGGTTTAGGGTCTCGGGTTTAGGGTTTAGGGTTTGGGTAGTATAAGGGAGATATAGGGGTAAAAAAGAACTTCTGAACTTTTGAATCTCCAAAGCCTTGTTCGTTGTTAAAGGCAACCAAGCCCTTGTCCTTGTAGAACCTTACATCCGTGTAAAACCATAGAACCTCTGCGCAATCTTTGCTGAACTCTGCAAAAAGATGAAAAAGCATTGCTGCATGTCATGCTGCTGCCGTTCTCCTCCATACTTGCATGCTGGCGTAACTTTCTATTCGGTTACAGCTAGCCGGTTTCCAGTCTCCATTGCTTGATTTCAGGTACTGAAGGCCTTGCTTCTCTTGCAGTTGCCTTTACCAAAAAATCCTGGACCCCAAAACCCCAAGCCCTGTACCCCAAAGTGCAAAAGATAAACAGAAAAGCAAAGTCAAAAGTAAGGCCGTGGTGCAAGCCCTGACTATCTTCCTTGTGCGGACGCTGACCGGAGAGAACTTCTCGGACTTTGTGAACGCCATGCGGATAACCATCCAGGAGAAGCTTCAGGTTCAACTTTTAGGGCTTTTAGGGTTTCGGGTTTAAGGTTTAGGGTTTAGGGCTTAGGCTTCAGGTTTAGGGATTAAAAACCTCTAGGGAGGCGAGATGTTTCGCAGGGGTTTTGATGGAGCTTATGCAGCACTATAGCAGGCTATGCAACTTTACTAATGCTTCAGAAGATTTGGGGCCTTCTGCTTGGTTTTAAGATGTGCCATCTGGTTCAGCCGACTTGGGGATAGTGGAATATTTATATAGTCCCCCTTGAGTAGATAGAATCTCGCTTTGGGTACATTATGTTAAGATCCCCATGTACCCCATATTCTATCTACTAAAGGGGGACTATAGTAGTAACAAGTTCCACGATAATATTGAACGTTTTCCTTTCTGCAAAATCATTTCGTTTGTATTTTTAAGATATTAGTATTAGGGCTTAAGTTTTGGCGGGGATGTATGAAGGGGAGGGGATTAAAAGGGTTTAGCTCAAGGAGCCGCACATCCAGGACCTGCTTGGTTACTTGGCGGTTCATGGTCTGTGAAAACAATCATAAACCCTAAACCAATGTTAAGCTTGAAGTAACTTGGGCAAGATCTGCCCTAACATGGGACCGGGCGTAGGTCCCCCTAGATTCATGTCAGTGTCTTTTCAATGTCTTGTTTGTTTGAAGGTACCTCTATCCGAAGCAGCCTTCATACAACTGCCATGACCCTTCATGATCGACAGGGTTAAGGTTGGCATTGTATAACTTGATCCTAAACGCTAAACGCCAATTTCATGTGAGTCCCGCCAAGGTTGTAGCAGACTGCTTGCCATCTCATCGTGGCATACAACGCCTGGGTCCCTGCGCCTGCCCCCCTTGAGGGCGTAGTCTACTGCTACATTCTGGGATCCTTATATACCTACTATATACCCCATACGTCCCCTTAAGGTTCCCTAGAATCCGTGTCAAAGGCTTACGGGGCCATGTTGGGGGCCCATACCTCTGAACTTAGAAACCTCAAACCCCAGGCTCTAGGGGCATTCCGGCCAATGAACAATGCCCAAGCACACCCAGTGCAAGGATTTCCCCAAACCCTGAAGCCGGACCCTAGGCCCTAAACCCCGATGCCTCAACCTGAAGCCCTACAAAACCCTGGGCCTGATGTAAAGGGTGGTTTTATAGGGGTGCATAGGAAATTGCAAAAGAAAATTGAAAATACATTATCACTTAGCGTCTAGGGTTTAGGGCTAATAATTCGTAGGAAATTGGCTTAGGGGAGGAAATGCAGCCCATAGTTTTTTAGTTCTTGGACCCTCTATAAAAGCATGTTTTCCAATTGTCCGTTTTCCCCGTGATTCTCCAATATTGGGACAATGCACGCATTTGTTAACAGCCGCAACGCTCTACGTATACCCCCATAAAATTGCTATGCAACCTTACACACTCTCCTTATAGAACCCCTCTAAAGCGGTCCCTAAAGAGTCCCCTATACAACCCTGTATAAATTTGGAATTGTGTGACTGCAGGAGAGACACGTGCTGGCCCATTGGTCGAAAGTGGGAAGGTTTAGGGTTGGGGTTTCGGCGCTTTGGGCCTCGAATTTAAAAAAATCCTCTTCCCTAGTCAGGAATACTACTATACCATCATAACTGGGGGCAATGTAATTAGGGGAGCCGGTGGATTTTTTTTTATCAGGGAGGAGAACAGTGCTGTGTTGTAAATGCATGCTAAGCTGAGATTCTATCCCAATAGATGTCACAGGATCCTGGCCATCAAAACATGTTACAGCTCATATGAACAGTTCTTTGCAAGAGACCAGCACGTGGAAGATGTGGTATTCCCCCGTCCGCCCATCACATGAACACGGGAAAAGTCGAAGACTAGACATGACAAGTTCCTTGTGTTAGGGGTAAAGGATTTAGGGTTTACCTCCGCCCGCAAACTAGCATGGAACCTCAAGCATGGTTCTATGTAAACTACTATCTCTTTTGAGGGGGCTTATTTCAGGCTCCATGTCAGTTTGGGAGAGGGTAGGGGGTGAAAGGAGTTTGTTTTTTCTGCGAGTCATTTTGTGATAGTTGCCCTTTGGCAGGCAGGCATTTGCTCCAGCCAAATACCCACTCCCACCCCTCGACAACACACCATACCCATGTGTACGGTGCACAAGGTGCGTCAAGGGTTTGTAGAGTGACGATGGGAAATCACCAGGAGTTTATAGAGTGTACATGAAGGGTATGGAAGGGGGGGGGGGGTATGCAACAAGTCTAGACTCCCTGTGGCCGATATAGGGAGTTATAAGGTTTGATGCTTGGGCCGAGATGTTTCATGTGTACATGGACTTAAGGAGACCATGGAGCTTAAAAGCCCTGAACCCTAAAACCTGAAGAAAGCTCAGGACTGGATGCATCATCTTGCGAAAGTGGGAGAAGAAAAGATCGGAAATAGCCTGCACAGAGTCTGGAGCGCGTAGGGCAAGCTTTAGGAAAAGATTCTAGGGATCTAGGACTCGGGGTTCAGGGTTTGAGGGGATTCAGGGCTTGGGATTCAAGCTAACAGGCGCAATCGACATTCTAAGTATGCGGCATGTTGGGGTTTAGAGCGAACCTAAAGCCTGAAGACTTGGCCCACTATAGGCTCTTGAACAAGACCTTTAAATTCTATTGCGCGCCTAAAGGCCTCCTACTTCGAGAACCCTCCTATAAGGGTCTGCGGGCGGGCCCCCTAATGTTTCAGTGAGTTGCTTGAATCGCTGACCTGAACTTCTAAACCATTCTTTCCCCGCGATATGGCAGTCTGCGTCTTTTTTTCGGTCAAGGGTTTAGGGTTTAGGGGAAGAACCACTTGATTTGGGCACGCTAGTGGTGGGTGGGAAGTGCTTTTTCTTGCTGAAGATTACGCTCAGTGCTCGACACAATCACCGGAACCTAGTAGACACAGCTAGGGTTTGAGCCTGCGCTACTTGGTTTCCAGAATTCGGTGGCTAGGGAAAGTAGAAACAGCTTAGCAACCATGCTCCATACTCCTCAGTCACATTCGCCGCTCCATGCTCTGCCATGGCTGTTTAGTTTTAGGACTTTGCAGCAGGGTAGTTGCCAAAACTGATGTCTCCGACTTACAGGCTAGCTGCTGTACTGAGTATATATTGGGATAATATGGAGTGGAAAGGAAAATGGAAACTACTATAGTATATTGGGGTTATACTTTCTTTATAAGTATTACTATTATTGCTACTGCGAGTATTCCCAATGGCCCAAAACACGGACGACAGTTTTGACAACAGACCACTGGTATGCCGGAACCAAGCAGTCCACCCACGCACCTGCACGGAAACTCTTGCCAAGCAGCTGTCGAAGTGGCCGGAAGTTGACTGCTCTCTTCGGCTTTCAGCAGTGTAGTTATTCATCAGTTTGGTTCAATGCCTGGCCTACGCCGAAGCTTCCTGGTAGGGCATAGGCGCAGAAAGATTTTGACAACAAACATGGGACTGTGCAAACGCGACTGATGCCATGGCAGTACTCACCCTTTTCGGGCTTCCTGTAGCCTGAAGAAGGGAAAACCTCTTCATGAGTATAAACCTGAAACCCTATAAGGTCCGATAAGAATAACCATGTATTCCAGTAAACCCAGAGGCCCAGAGGCCACGCCTTTCCGCGCAGGTGCGGGTGGGTAAGCAGCAGGTGTTCTCAGCATACTGCAGACCAAGCTTGGGCGCCAGATTTCCACGGCTTAGGGCTTCTGGACTCTAAGCCCCAAAACATACCAATAATATACTATAATGTACTAATAATGCCTTATACTGACAATATATATGTATATGACTTACGAATAGCAGCAATATGGATAGTACAAGTTGATATTGTCGAATACCTTGGAGTTGTGTGGGCTAAACTGGCTCTGGAAGAAGTTGAACGCCAATTGTAAAGAGCAGGATCTAGGCAAGTCCTGAACATGACATGGTCTTTCTTTTTCTGTCCATTCTGGGCTCAGGGGTTTAGGGGTCATAAGCCCCCAACAAAGAACAAGAGCGAATTGCTGGGAGAGTTCCGGAGCAGACTCAGCGACGTCTGAGATCCCAAAGTCAAAGCCCGAAACCCTAAACCACAAGCCCACATACAGTCTCCCTCAAGTAGCTAGAATATGGTAATCACCAAAACGATAATGGGATTGCTATATACCCCGTTTTCCATCCTACGCCTCAAACCCTTAATTCCAAGGTTAGGACCTGCAGCGCCTCCTGACCTTTCTGGTGGTCAAAGGTTTGATGTGTTTTCGGGTTACTCTAGGGACCTGAGGAGTTGCCAATATTTTGTAGTAGACTCCTTCTCTAGTTATGGTGCAGGATACCTCAAATGGACCTTAAGACTGATGTTGGTAATTATTCAGGCCCTAAAGTTTTAGCAGGGCAAAAACATGTGTGTAGACATGAGCCCTACCACCAGCGTTAGCAGAACGTTGCCGGGGGTTCACGCGGAGTTCACGGAACCTTCGCAGGGTTTGTAACCTTTCAGGGGGTTAGTAGACCCCGGTCGCAGAACCCTGTGGAGTTCGGCTACCTGCGGCTCACCTTATGTGGGTTCGACAAACTTCGGCCTACACTAGGAGGCGTACTTACAGAGAGTGGTACACATACAATTCTCCTCCATTTGGGGTTTGGGTGGGGATATGGGGTTTACAGCTTCGGGGTGAAGGGATACGGGGTCTAGGGTTTAGGGAATGCTGAACTAGGATGACGGTTCGGATGTCCTGGCGCCAGAAGCACGTTTTCCTCGCGCGAGGCCTCGGCGAGATTCACTCATCCACAGGGGATACACAAGTACTCCCCTCCCCCTATTAATAACCCTCCCCCCGCCTTATAATAGATGCCCCCCATGTAGTGCCATTAGGGGGAATATGCATTACCAGGGGTGGGACGGGCGGTTGTGATTCTTCGGGGGGAGTTCGCAGTAAGTAAGCTTGAAAAAGCTATGGTAGGGTAAGCTCCAGCTAGGTCTTAGAGCACCCCTCCTCCACCGTAGACTT